CGTAATTACGGGGCGCACGGCACGTTCCCCTCGTTTAAGGTAATGGTGGCAATGGCTACTCTAGGCAAGTCTCTCAGGCTCCTTTGGGTGTCTATTTTCGGGTTTAGGGTTTAGGGTTTAGGGCTGGGGTTTAGGGCTTGGGGTTTAGGGTTTAGGGTTTAGGGTTGATAGGTCATTCTTCGATCATGTCTTAGGTAGCCTTCAGGCTGAATCACAATGAGTTCTGGCACATGGAGCGACCTCTGAGTGTGAAGCTTAACGTTTGTAAACGATACTGCTGCGCTACTTCCCGCCCCACTCGCAAAGCGAGAGCGTCACTCAAACCCTACTAACCCTACTAACCCTACTAAGCCTAAACCCTAAACCCTAAACCCTAAACCCTAAACCCTAAACCCTAAACCCTAAACCCTAAACCCTAAACCCTTAGGTTTAGGGTTTATGGTAATCTCTTACAGTAGCTGCCCATGGGCGTTTGACTTCGACCTGGCTGCTCCAAAGAGACGTAGCATCAGCACGCCATGGGGTTGGCTGGCGCGAACCGTAGGGTTCAGGGTTCAGGGTTTAGGGTTTAGGGTTTAGGGTTTTAGGGTTTAGGGTTTAGGGTTTAGGGTTTAGGGTCGCCTACAGGGGATTCTGCACCCTTACTTTTGCTTAGGCCCCGGGAGGTCCGGTATTCGGTTAGCTTGGAAAGACCTTGCATTCAGCCGGCTCGGTGCTGATACAGCGTCGGGGTCTGTAAAGGCTTTAGGGTTTAGAGGCTAGGGTTTCTAGAGTTTAGGATTCGTTCTGTGGTGAGAGAGTGAGAAGGAGGGAAGCTGCACAACGCCCAGCTCCATGGTCCGCGCGACGGTTGAGCGCAGAAAGTGCGCAGACATGATGTCCACTATACCCTAAACCCTAAACCCTAAACCCTAAACCCTTAAACCCTAGGGTTTAGGGTTGAAGGGGTGTAGGGAGAGACCCCTAGAAGGGACCCCAAAATGTTATTCCCCGACTTATAATTACCCCTTTAGGTACCTTAAACAAAGCCCCTAGATACCTAATTAAACCCTAAACCCTAAACCCTAAATCCTAAACCCTACACCCTAAACCCTAAACCCTAAACCCTGAACCCTAAACCCGCCCCTGAAGAAGCCCTGCGGTCCCTTGTAAGGGTCCCTCCTTTAAGTCCCTCGACATTAAGCCTCAGCCCCTAGGACATAATATAATACCACCCTATTATGGAGGACCAAATGAACCCTGAAAGGATTTACGGACCATATTCTTTAATAGGAACTCTAGTAACACGGGGTATATGACCCCAATTTTCGGGTTCATTTCGCCTCCGAGGATGAACCACTCGAAGCCTACGTCCTTAGAGGGCACCTTGGTAGTTTAGCCGGGCCTCATTGAAGTTTTCTGGGCCCTGCTGAAACGGGGTTTGTAGGGTTGAGAAATTTCCGGTTCAATATTTACAGGGCTTAGGGCTTTGAGTGTCTCTAATGTTGTAGGTTCAGGGTTTAGGGTTTAGGGTTTAGGGCTTTTAGGGTTCAGGGTTCAGGGTTTCGGGGGTAAAGTCTCGAAACGCTGAACCTGCGTCGAACTTGCTATCCGGCATGCCCGGTGGCCAGCGAGAAGAATACACATGTCCCTCAATGACTATTGTATACTTGCAATTTAGGGTTTAGGGTTTAGGGCAGCAACCCAACGAGCCACAAAGTCAAAATATCGCAACTACTTGAGAGCCGAAGTGCAATTACCCTCAATGGCCCCAAACTTCTAAGTCCTCAATGGAGCGGTTCAAGGGGGGGTACGCACCCCAAGGTTCCCGTATAATCTCCCCCCCCCTACTCCCACCCCCCCCCCCCCCCCCCGCCCTAATCCCTAGACCAAAACCGTAAACCCTAAACCCTAAACAGGACCCTGTAAGTTTAGGCGGCTTCCAGGTTCAGGGTTTTTGGAGACCTCTGTCCAACTCGAGGTCGCCAGGCGCCCTCGTGGAAGACCTGGTTTTGGAGTTTGGGTTAGGGGTTTAGGGTTTGGAGTTTGGCGTTTAGGGTTCTGGGTTTGGAGTTTGGGGTTGAGGGATTAGGGTTCAGGGTTTATGGTTTAGGGCGTAGGGTTCAGGGTACAGAAGGCTGACAAGCCTTCCATAATCACGTGTTTAGGGTCCGGGGTCTAGGGCCTGCCTGGAATCCAAAGTCTAAACTCTAAACCTAAACCCCAAAGGCCCAAACCCGAAGTCACTTGACCCAGCTCTCCACCACAGGCATTCCATGCGGGTGGCCTTTCCGACTTGTTTGTTTAGGACCAGAGTGGGTCCTTTGTCCCGTTTCTTCAGGGTTTAGGGTTTAGGATTCAGGGTTTTGATTTTTGGGTTTAGGATTTGTGTTCTGTTAGAAGCCCCTATAAACCAAAAAGGGCACCCCTTTTTTTCCTAGGCTACTCCTGGGTCTAGCTGTACAATCCTTTTGAGTCTCAACCGAGCCCTAAACCGAAAAAAAGTCATGTTTGGGGTTTAGGGTTTAGGGTTTAGGGTTTAGGGTTTAGGGTTTAGGGTTTAGAGTCAGGGCGTTCGGAGTTATTCCTAGACCCTGACCCTGAGGCCCTACGGACTTAGGGTGGCCTCCGAGGCGTGTACACGAGCCTCTGCTTGGGTTTTAAGGCTTTTGGGCTTATGGGGGGGGGGAGGTATATAGGCCCCAAATTGTTGCATCAAAATCCCCAAAAAGAGGGGAAGCCAAGCACAGCAGACCAGGGTAGGAGCCTGTAATCAGACCCTAGCCCAGAACGAGGGCCCATGGCCCTACACTTTTAAACCCTAAATCTCTAGTTTATGGGTACAGTGAACTCCAGAAAAATCGGAACATGTTTAGGATGATTAGTGCAGGGTTTCCCAATACTGTACCGCAAGGGTATGAGGATAGTGATGTTCCAACTTTCTGGTGTTTGCGATAGTTCTCTAAAGTCGGGGTCCATTTTGCCGTGCTATATCTAAAACACTCTAAGGCTCGAGGGTCGAGAGTTGAGAGTTTTGGTTCACGGTTCTGAAGTCCGATGGCTTGGGGTTTAGGGTTAAGTTTAGGGCTTAGGGCACAGGGCTCAGGGCTCAGGGCTCAGGGCTCAGGGCTCAGGGCTCAGGGCTCAGAGCTCAGGGCTCAGGGCTCAGGGCTCAGGGCTCAGGGCTCAGGTTTAGGATTTAGGCTTTAGGCTTTAGGGTTTAGGGTTTTGAGGGTTTAGGGTTTAGGGTATTCGAGTCCTGGTCTAGATAGATAGGGAGCCTCCCCCCCCCCCCCCCCCCCCCTTGCTAATTGGGACCCCTGAGCCCTGAACCCTGATTTCTTGTGGAGGGCTTTAGGGTTCAAGTTTGCCCTGAGATCACGAGCCGTGGATATAGTGACTTTACGAAGTCTCTACATTGCAGAAGGCCCCCTAGACCCTGAATCCTGACCTTAGGGTTTAGGGTTCAGGGTTCAACCCTAAATCCTAGACCCCTACACCCCTGTAGCGCCCTTGAGCAATTGCGCCCGCCGCCTTCGCCCGCACAAGCGCCCGCGCAACTTGGCGCGTGGCAGTAGGAACCTGTCACCTTGACCACATGGGTTTAGCGGGTCCTCTGATTCGGTTTTTAAGGCAACTGGGTTCAGGACTGGGGGGTTCCATCATGACTCATGACTGCATGCATGTACAGTGTGAAGCGGTAGGGCTGTAGGGGGGGGTTGGGCGCTGAGGATTCTCCAGTTGAACCTTCTCGCAAGATGACCGCTGCGGGGATAGCTGCAGCAGCCCAACTGCCTATACTGAAAAGCATATAAATCGATCAGCACGTGCGCGTGTAACATATGTCATCGGGGTGTATACGCATACACACACACATAGCCATGCAAGGCTTTCGTCCTCGTGCGGACAGCTGCCAAAAGCATAAGGCAGCTTATCTTGCCTAGACTCCTTCGGCCATAGTGTCCTCGTCTTCTTCCGCGCGGAGGGGCCTGCCGGGGAGGCTGCCGTTGCAGGCATTCTTATCCCAAACCCTAAGCCCTAAACTCTACAGTAAACCCTGAACCCTACAGTAAACCCTATAGGCCTGCAGGGCTTAGGAGATAGGGTTGAGGGTTTATAGGCAAGCGCTCCACTACCGATGCTGAATATACCATATACACCCCAAACCTTTGCAGTTCAAAGCTTGAACCCTAAACCCTAAACCCTACAAAGCCTTCAAGGCCCTAGATGCCTAAAGCCCAACGCCGTTTGTGGTAGAGGCTGTGGCTCCACTACTATTTGCTTAAGAACCCCCCCAAAACAGTATCAGATAATCATCCCCATATTGCCCTTATCCTATGATTGTTTATTAGTACTTTTTGTTTTGTTTGTTTTACATGTTCACTGTTGTTTTTGTTGAAGTGTTTCTGTGGGCTAAAGAATCAGCTGAGCTTTCTGCGTTACCTAGATCCTGAAGCCTAACCCTAGGAAGTATACAAATAGTACCTACATTGGAGTCTAAAGTCTGTAAATGATACCTACTTTGGGCTATTTGGAGCCTTGGGGTAAACTTAAGGGGCATAAGGAGGGACCCCTAGAAGGGGCCGTAGTCTTATTCCCCTATGTACCCCCCCTATATACCTTATATGGTCCCTATATACCTGAGTAGCCCCTGAATAGCCTCGAAAGAATTTCGAAGGTCCCTTTTCTGGTCCCTTGATAAACAGGCTCCCCTCAAGCCATAGCCTCGCACTTGGCTTTCTTCTGGTTGGCTCTTACTTTAACTTTTTTGGGCTTTGGTAGAAACTACAGAAAAGGGGCCTAAAAGTTACACTTTTTAGGAAGGGTTCAGAAGTGAGCCAAGAAAGTAGGCTCGCGGCGCGGGGGATTTGGAGAACTTGCGGGCTTTACTTTCTTCGGAACCCTAAACCCGAAACCCTAAACCCTAAACCCTTTGGTTAGGACTTCGGGCCCAGAATCCTAGGCAACAAATCCACCGATATGGGGTCTGGGCCGTTCCTCTGCCAGGCCTTGACCCCATTATGGGGCAATGCATCTCGGCAGAATGTGCGGTTCAGGGTTCGGGGTTTAGGGTTTAGGGTTTAGGGCAGGGTTCAGGCAGCTGGTGTTGAGGTTCTTGTTTTGGGGTGGACCTGAAAACTCTGATGTCGCACTTTCAGGGCCGTTCTCCTTTTTTTGTCAACCTATAAGTGCTATGCACAACAAGTGAGCGGAGTCTGTGTAGGGCTCACCTCTGGGTTGGACGTTGCCCTCGTAGAAACTTTCAGAGGGTTCTATTCTGGCGTTGCCACTATTAAGGTAAAATAAGTTCTAAATACAGTTTTCCAAGCCATCCGATGATTTTAGGTAGGACCTGCTGCTGTTTCACAATTTGCCCTTGTTGGGCTGAAGACAAGCCCAGAGACGCCAAACCCTAAACCCTAAACCCAAACCCTGAACCCTGAACCCTGAACCCTAAAACCTGAACCTTAAATCCCAACACTAGCAGCACTTCAATTTGCGGAGCCGGAAACTCTGCGTAGCCCTGAGAAAACCGGAAGTCCCGAGACGTTGCCTTGAGTCAGGGTTTCGGGTTTAGGGTTTTTGGGTTTAGGGTTTAGGGTTAGGGTCTAGTGTGCAGGGCGCACCAGACACCCCGAAGCCACACTCCTGAAATCTCTAAGCCCTGAGCCCTATAACTAAAACGGATGCCCCGCCATGGGCCGGGTCAGGGCTGGGGAAGCCCTGAAGCATTGGGTGGAAGCGCCCTACACCCCTAAACGACTGAAGCCCTGAACCCTAAACCCTAAACCCCAAACCCTAAACCCTAAACCCTAAACCCCAAACCCTAAACCCTAAACCCTTAAGGTGGGGTGTAGGGTGTAATTAGGGTTTGGGGTCTAGGGACAAGTCCCAGATGCTGGACCTGAAGCTCTCAACCTAGCCCAAGGCTCCAGGGACCCTCCTACGGAGGGTTTAGGCTTCAGAGATTGAAGGATGTAAGGTTCAGGGTTCCTAAACCCTAAGCCCTAAGCCCTAAACCCTAAACCCTGAACCCGAAACCCTAAACCCTAAACCCTAAACCCCAAACCCTAAACCCTAAACGCTGAGCCGCGGTTTAGGGTTTAGGGTTTGGGGTTTAGGGTCTATAAGGCTCCAGAGGGGCAAGTATGTCCTAAGCGAGCGTGCTGGGATCTCAATTTCTGGACCTTTCCCGGGAAAACACGAGCCTTTAAGGGTCCTGAAGCTAGTTATGTAGGCCCTGAGTATGCTCCCTTACCTCCTAGAAACGGGGTTGCATGGGATTAGGGTTTGGGTTTGGGGTTTGGGGTTTAGGGTTTAGGGCTTTTGTTTAGCCCAGCCGATGTGTCGCTGGGCGCGGGGGGGCCTTCTGGGCAGGTGAATTTTGCTTGGGCCCATGCGCGGCAAAACCCGACAACCAGAACTTGGGCTTCCACCAAAAACCGCCCAAAACAAGCCCCAGAGCCCGCCCTTACAGCCAAAACAAACCTCAGACTCTACACACTGGGGCCTAGGCTTTAGGGTTTATAGTTTAGGGTTTAGGGTTTAGGGTTTGGTGCCTGAACCGTGGATTTTTTTCGGGGTCGCCGAGGCCAGCCATGCTGCGTTGGCGACTCTCCCGAGTACGAGGATGCAGCTACTGCGCAAGTGGGTGCCCGAGTGCGGGGTTGGATTGCGGGTTTAGGGTTTAGGGTTTAGGGCTAGGGTTTAGGGTTTTGGGTTTAGGGCTTAGGGCTAAGGATCTCGGGCTTAGGGTTTGGGATGTACAGTAGGGTTTAGGGTTTAGGATGTAGGGCTTAGGGTTTAGGATGCAGGGTCTAGGGTGGTTGAGGCGTGTGCGCGTGGCGGGGTGCTTTCGTGTAGGGTTGGGCTTGATGGCCTAGGGGGTTCTGCACCCTAAAGGTCTGGGGCTATGCCGGTGCGATGGTTGCGGTAGCCCTAAACCCTAAACCCTAAAGCCTAAACCCTAAACCCTAAACCCTAAACCCTAAACCCTGCTAAAGTTCTGAACCCCAACAGGGCTCAGGAGTATCCACGGCTTGAGCAGTTTGGTTTCGGGTTCAGGGTTTTGTCATGCCTACCCCCAAGCCCCCCAAGCCCCTTCTGGGTTTACTGCAAAGGCTTGACGCTTCGGGCGAAACCTAAGTCCTAAGCTGAAGCAAAGAATCTGAAGCACTAAACCCAAAACCCGAGACCCGAAACCCTAAACCCTAAACCCTAAACCCTAAACCCTAAACCCTAAACCTACAAACCCAGAACCCTAAACCCAAGCCCCCTCAACGGCTCCACTCCATCCCGCAGGGCTTCGGGCATAGAGCTTACTTGGAGGTTCATGGTACTTCTTCACCAGTTATATCTGTACCAATAACCCACTTATAGGCCCCTAAAGTGCCCTCATATGGTTATAAGTACAGTTATAAAGGCCTAATAAGTACCATGAACCTCCAAGTAGGGCGTCTTCTTGGGGATGTAGGGTTTGAGGGACCAGGCCGACACCCAAACCATCACGGGTTGCTGGCATTGGGGCCGGGGAGGGGTAGGGTTTAGGGTGTAAGTTAACCCTAAACCCTAAACCCTACACCCTAAACCCTAAACCCTAAACCCTATAGGGATTCACAGTTGGTTTTGTAGGACTTAGGGCACTTTTGCTCTTAGGGCGTAGGGTTTCATGCTAAGGGTTTAGGGAGCTTCACAGTTGCAGCTCTCAAACGGTATGGTCATTACAGGCGGCCCCAGAAGGCACCGTGCGTAGGTCAAGGCTGCACTGCGTTGTCTACAGCCATAAACCCTAGACCCTAAACCCTAAACCCTAAACCCTAAAAAACCCTAAACCCTAAACCCTAAACTCTAACTTCGACCCAGAGCAGGTTCCCATTTTTTAGTGTTTAGGTTCCCTAGGGCACCCTTTCTATTCCTGGCTAATTTGCCAGTTTATACCTGTGCTTTGCTAGCCGTAAGCTGTAAGCGGTTAAACCCTGGACTCTGAACTAGCTCGCTCATCCCGACCCTGAACGACCGGCCCTGAACCCCAGAAACGCCCCTGAGCCCGAAAGCCTAAGCCCTAAACCTAAGCAAACCCTAAACCTCAGTATTAACCCTAAACCTCAGTATTAACCCTCAACCTCAATATGAAGCCTAAGGCCTAGACCTAAACTTAACCCTAAACCTTAAACCCTAAACCCTAAACCCTATACCCTGTACCCTATACCCTATACCCTAAACCCTAACAAACCCAGGAATCTCCGAAGAGTCGAACGGTGGAGAAGTCCGTGGAGTTCGAGGCGTGACATCCCTAGGTGAAGCAGCAGGGGCATACCGAAAACAACATTCTTTGTTAGGGTTTAGGGTTCAGGGTTCAGGGTTCAGGGTTTAATTAGGGCTCTGGGGAGAGGGTTCTGATAGTAGGCATCTGGGAGGTTTGCGAAAACAGGGGTACCTTTGTGCGGGGTCCGCTTAAGGGGAGCCTAGTCTATTTGGGTATAAAAGGCGTACCCTTATTTTCGGAAGCCCCCCTATAGCAAGGAGCTCTCTATTTGTATATACAAGGGGTACCCTTATTTTCCGAAGCCCCCATATAGTAAGGAGCGCCAGCAGCAAGATCCTGACATGGTGATGCCCTGTTGTGCTTTGTAGTTCGGGAGGTCTTTGTGCAAACGTACGCCACACCCAACATGATTTCCCCGGGCATCCTGCCGAAAGGCTTCAAGTAGCCCTAAACCCTAAACCCTAAACCCTAAACCCTAAACCCTGAACCCTGAACCCTGAACCCTGAACCCTGAACCCTGAACCCTGAACCCCAAAACCGCCAAAACCGCCAAAACCGCCAAAACCCAAATCCTAAACGCCGTTTCTGGGCTCTCCCAGCCTTGCCAAAAGCCCCTCGACAGGGCTTAGGGAGTTTGGGGTTTGGTGCCCTTCTCTCAGAAGGTCCTCTTCAAAAAATAGTATTGCTATTCTTACGTGTGAAATTACCGTTATGACAATTATGACTATGATGACTGCTATCTGGCTATTGTGGTTGTGACTTATATTGTGGGGGATAACCCAACGTTCACCCCCCTACTGAGCTGGCCAGTGCCTAACCCACCTTCACAGCCAAGAAAAGGGATTAGGGTTGAGGCGGTTGAGGTTTCGGGATTAGGGATCCCTAACGCCTTAGCCTTCGGCCTCGGGAGTACTGTGGATGTTGAGTCGGTGCCCCTGAAGGACAGGTATTGATCACGATTTTGTTTAGTACCATGCGACACTGCACTCCATTCTTTATATCCCCGTATATTCATATACATATATATATATATACATATGTATTTATTTGTTTATTTCTATATATACTATATATCTACATATACATCTTCGTTTACATATTTATGTATTTGTTCACTATTTAGATTTATGTCTTTGTCTTTTTACAGATTCTGCACTCTTGAGCCGCTTCCGTTGTCCTCGCGACCTTCCTCGGCTTCTGAAGGACGTGTCCGAGAACGGCTTCTCCGACGAGGGACGACCGCGAAAGCCATGCTCGCAGGCGGCTTCCCCCCTGGGTTGACTGTTTAGGGTTGAGGGTTTAGGGTTTAGGGTTTAGGGTTTAGGGTTGAGGGTTTAGGGTTTAGGGTTTAGGGTTTAGGGTTTAGGGTTTAGGGTTTAGGGTTTAGGGTTTAGGGTTTAGGGCTCAGGGGTTTAGGGTTGCGCTGGGTTTTCAGTTTTCACCTGAAGGCTCCAAGGTAGCTCCTTTTTGGGTTAGATATAGGGTGTTCTCGTAGACTACCCTAAACCCTAAACCCTAAACCCTAAACCCTAAACCCTAAACCCTAAACCCTAAACCCTAAACCCTAAACCGCCTTTACTGTAGGCAGGGTTTAAGGCTGTAGCTACAGAAACCGGGTTTTAGGGTTCGGACAGAAGGTAAGAGCCAGCCTTGCTACTGCAGAAGAAACTTACAATCGGGTTTAGGGTTTAGGGTTTAGGGTTAGGGTTTAGGGTTTAGGGTTTAGGGTTTAGGGTTTAGGGTTTAGGGTTTAGGGTTTAGGGTTTAGGGCTTAGGGCTTAGGGTTTAGGGTTTAGGGTTTAGGGTTTAGAAGCTTGGCTTCGGACGTCTTTAGGCCTTTTGCGTTGCACCAGGGATGTGGAAGGATGGATTTTCAAGTTCCGCTAGGATTTCCCTGGGGACTGAGCGAAGTCTGAATTTGGGTTTGTAAGGGCCCATATCTAGGGAGCATGGAAATACCCTAAGAAGGATTGACAAGCCTTTTGTGCTAGCCTAGCGCGGTACCCCTTTCCTTGTTTTAGTTCAAGGTTCCCTTACACAGTGACCAACTCCAAGAAGGGTGCCCTCATCACAATCTGGTTACGGTTAGGTGCCTCACCCAGATTCAGCGTTCGGGCTTTCAGAGTGTTGGTGAGAATCTAAACGTGTAGTTGGTCCCTGAGTTTGGGCCCTTAACTTGGGACCCCTTGTAGCCCAAAACCCTAAACCCCAAACCCTAAACCCTAATTATGACCCTAAGACCGACACCCTAAGGCCCTAAACTCGGCACCCTAAACCCTGAGGTGAGTTCAGAGTTAAGAGTTGCGGCCCAAGGCCCACCCAAAACAAGCCCTGCCCCATGTAAACCCTAAGCCCCAAGCCCTAAACCCTAAACCCTAAACCCTAAACCCCAAGCCCTAAACCCCAAGCCCTAAACCCTAAACCCGAACCCTAAACCCTAAAACTCCTCGAGGTCAGCCTCGGAACGAGTGGGAATGCGTCGGGTTCGGCTTCCCTCCGGCAGGTCTCCCAGGCCCTGGGTTTGAGGTATCCATCTGGGTGTCAAGGTGAGTTTAGGGTTTAGGGTTTAGGGTTTAGGGTTTAGGGTTTAGGGTGTAAGGTCTAGGGTTTAGGGTTTAGGGTTTAGGGTTTAGGGTGTAAGGTTTAGGGTTTGGGGTTTAGGGTATAGGGTTCAGGGTACGGGGGGACAACCAAGGAAGGAAATCAACTCCCCTAATCGCCCTGAACTTATATTTCCTAGATCGAACCAAGAAACAACCAAGAACACGGATAAGAGCAACCCAGGGGGGAAGGAAAGGGGGAAGGAACCCACACCCTTACCAAACCCTAAGAACCCAGGCACTTCTTTTTGAACTTGTGGCTTTCTGTTCAAGCCCATCTTGAGCCAAATACGATTACCGGGTTCATTAACCCTTCCAACTTCCAACACTAACTCCTTTCTACAATACCAATTGCAGCTCCGCACTCCCCCTGTCCTAGGATTTCCTAGGACACATTGGAGATGCAGATCTTTTGGCCAAAAACTGCCATTACGGCAGCAGCCAGCTGCTTGAAATGCAAATTGTGGTTTAACGTCTTCCAGGACGGAATTATAGCACATTGGCTAACCTACTACCCATAGAGAATCTTTTTTCACCTTGATCCTCTCATCACTGAAGACTCCTTGGCCTTCTTCACCACAAACCGTGGTCTTCGCTACGCGAAAAGCTACTGACTCCTACTATCAGGGATTTCCATACCCTTAATAGTAACCGCCACATTGTCAGCACAGTGGCTGTTCCAGCGCACCGGTCTCCAGAAAGAGAAAAACCATCCCTTCATCCATACCATCCAATCACTTCTTTTTCCGATTGTTGGCAATCTTGAGGTGAAGTTGCAGCAGAATATACTCCAGGTCCGAAATCGTAAGAATAGGATCCTGTATGCCCCTTTGAATTGAGGATACCAATCCTTCTCTCTTTGCGTCCTCAATCGCCTGGCAAGATTGACCCAGCTCTTCATTCGCATTGGCAGACCCTGGTGCCTCCGCATCGGATGGACGATCCTTTTCCTCAGGATCTTGCACCATTACCACCTCTTCTTTTTTGGGACTCTGACTTTTCTCCTTCTTCTTTGTCTTTCCACCGACATTTGACTTTGTGCGCGTCTTCGAGGATTTTTCCACTGCAGAAGCCACCACATTGGATGTTGATCCACCCTTCTCAATGATCGTCGGCATCTTCTTCGGCTTTGGAACCATGAGAGTGTAAGGATCTTCGATAGCTGCAGCTTTCCTCTTCTTTTTTACCTTTTTCTTCTCCTCCTCAACGGCAACCTCCGTCTCCGAAGTCTCAACCACTTCTTTTTCGGCAGGAATATCTTTGCTGGACTCCCCTTCTAGGGACCTCTTTTTCCCTTTTTTGGGATCCTTTTCTTCTCCCAAATTGGCTCGCTCATACCATATCCTCAGGTCATTGACCCATTCTTCCACCTCCGCGAGCGAAACATCGTACGACTTCACTACTTCGAGAAGTTCCAGCACTGACAACATTTCAGTGGTCCACGAAACCCATACTTGATCCATTTGGTCAGCATCTCCAGTGAACTTCAGGAGTTTGAACAATGGGTCCGCCTCTGCTCGAGCCAAATCTGGCTTGCCACCGGAGAGAAATGAAATCGCCTCCATCAACAGTTCCGTCATCTTGGTCTCTTCGTCATAAACCATAAAATCCTCCTCATCATCATCGAACTGTTCAGGAGGGATCTCCTTTTCTCCACCATTTGCACCAGACTTTCTCCTTGGACCATCCCTTGGGGGCGTCCTTGGAGACCTTGGCCTCTGTTTTTCCAACGGAACACCATGCTCGAAGACACACCTGTCACCAAATCGACACTTCCCAGACCGAGCAAACTGGACGCACCTCACACCAGTTGCATCATGCGAGAACCCACAATCCTTTCCAGCGAAACATTCTCTCCCTGCCACATAGTATTTGCACCAATATGAATGTAGCACCACATCATCTTCGGAATGGATGAATTTGCAGTCGTCACCAAATTTGCAGCGATCTTTCCCTTTGCCAAACCAATAGCAGAAACCCTTCTTCCTCTTCTCCAAGCGCTCTGCCTCATACCGGTCCATAGGGCGACTGTGCTCTACATGAACATTGCCATGTACCTGGGGACTGCTCCCTTCACCCGACGTGCTATCAGTATTTGGTGCTTGGAGTACAGTTGGAAAACCTGGCCTTGGTCCTACCACCTTCATGATCGGTTTTCCGCCAACTCCTGAGCCATGCTGAGACGATCCAAAAACATTGAACATCTTCATGAAGGCCTTCCTAGCGCCAATCTTCTGCACCCTTTTGATTGGACGATTCATTGCTCCAACCTTGCATCCAGATGCATTCAAACGACGCAACCTTCTAAACCCAACTCTATGTCCCTTCTTCCAAAGAGCCATAAGAATTTTAGAGGCAGTGACATTCTCCACCTCTGCCTTTTCCAATGATCCCTCACTTCCCGGAACAAACCCATCCATCTCTGAAGACCTTTCCATCTTTTTTGACACCACTTCGTCGAGGTAGTCTTCTGAAATCCAGGGAAAGTTCCCCTTAGAGGAAGGATTGTCATCATTGTTTGGTCCTTCACCAGGATATCCTTTGGTGCTGTCAAAGATCTTACCAGTAGTGCGGTCCTGCATAGAGAAATTCGAAGCCACGCGGGAGTACACTGACCACAAGAAAATCCTTGTGTCCGCCAGTCTGGATGACCCACTGGATTTCTCCTCTTCCGGAGAAACTTCTGGCGCTTTGCCCTTCCCTCCAGTGTCACCGCTTGTCTCACCTCCAGCATCTTCAATGGGAATAAGGGATTCATTGTTCCCTTGATCAAGCACCGCATCCTCTAGTCCAAGAACTTCCAGCATCGCTGTCGAAGGATCCACCTCCTCATCCGCATCGTCGTCCATCCTTCTCCAGAGAGCCTCCAATTGGTCCGCACAAGTCGCCGCTTGAAGAAACTCCATCAACCGAGCCCTCCCGCGCTGCCAGAGAAATTCTGAAACCATCACCGACCCTTGTGCTCCCAGATTCAGGAATGGGTGAACCATTTTGGCTACCCTCGCCATAAGTTCAATATGAACTTCCATGCCTGGACTGCGGCTCCAATCATAGGCAATTGCCTCCATAGCAGTACCAAACTTGTCCGTATTCTTGAATTCCCCTTCCAGACCAGGAGACAACAAGGCACCCATCACCGAAAGAGGGTAATTCCCCACCGCCGGCAAGCACGGGTTGTCATGGAACGAATGATGCAGGTCAGTATAATATCCTTGATCTCTCCTTTGAAAAAGGAGTGTTCCAGTCCCTAGCTGGGCATTCATTTCATCCACTTGAACCATTTCAGCACATATCCTCTGTGCCAGGTGCGCCATTGCTGGCCAGACGGTACGATCGGTCAGACCGCGACGCATAACCCAATCAGTTGTTGGCGACTGGATCAGCGTTCCTGGATCATACACCATAACCATTGCACCGTCTCCCATTGACTGATCAGCATCGTCCTCCAGTGCCAGGTTCTCATCCTGTTCGCTTGCACCCTCGGATGACATGCTAATAACCAAATTTCGATCCATCTTATTGGACCCTTTTTGGCAATCTCTTTGCCCCATTGGCAACTTGCCAACTGCAACCTTCCAATAAATTCGAGTCAGAAGGCCTTTCACCAGCAATTGCTGAAGGTCACTCCTCACCGGACCACCATCCAACATCTTCGCATCATTACCACGGAGATCATTGCTCCCGCCTTCTCCTTCTTTTTGGTCGGTCTCCTCGCCAGAAATCTGTACTGCTCCTTCCGGCGCCGTCTCCTGTCCAGCCACTTCATGCCCAGGAAGAACTTGAGCGCTTTCAGAGACATTCACCTGTCCAGCAGCACCTTGCCCAGGTAAAACCTCATCCGTGGAGCCCACCGCCAGCGAACCAACCATAACTGAACCATCCCTTGTTCTTTTTTGAGACCGTTCAGCTCGACGAGAAGGTTGTGGTAGCGAAAAAACTTGTGAAGTCACTTCTTGGCGGGTCTCCCCCCGCGACGCTTTGTCGCGCCCTTCGCCAAGGTGAACCGATTTTTTCGGCCCATCATTGGAGCCTGAAGAACCACTTTGTGGAACATTGCCACGACTCGCAGTTCTCCACGAATCCCTTTCTTGCAAAAAGAGTTCCTTCAGGCGTTGTACCGCATTGGTCTCCTCCTCGCTTGAATCGCTTGAGGAAGCGGCATACGAGACCAAAGCCTCCGCCTGGTCATCATCATCCACCACATCTGCCCACGCTCTGCTGAATGGATACGACAAACCACCACGAGGTTTCACCGGCTCCAGTGGCTTCGGTTTTTCCACTACTTCCGCCAGTTGCACTCGTCGTTGTGACCGAGATCGTGGCACCTGTCGCACCTGTTTTTTGTCCAGCAAGGGCCTTCCCCTTCTTACAGGGTTTGATCTTGACCGATATTTTTTCGTTGGTGGATTCACCGGCGGCATTCCAACTCCCACCAACCGAAGCTTCTGTACGCACAACGGAGACCTCTGCGCAAGCGTCCAACCATCACGGTACCTGACCTTATCAAAAAGCTCCCGATAGGAACCTCTCGGCATAGTTTTTGCACCGGAGTCTTCAGCTTCACGCACCTGAGTGAGGGTTCGCACCGCCGCTCTTCCAGTCCCTTTGTTCCCAGAAGATTGTTGTACCCGTACAGATGCATCAGAAGGAACTGCCTTTTCCGGTCCTCCCGGTCGATATCGGACCTCACCCACCAATTGCAGAATTTTGCATGCGGTCACTTTGTTGATCCCTTTGTCAACCAAATCTTCCACAAAGATGAACTCTTGCAAGTCCGACACATTGGTCACACCAAGCGTAATCATCACCTCACTTACATGAGGGGTATACACCCACAGGTGTGCGTTGCGAGCCATCCAATTTTCAATCGGCTCCTCCGGATTGTGAAGCTGAGTACTAGTGGATGCAGCCA